AGAACTATAGCTATCGTGGTTATGACGAACGTATAGCTTCGGATGGCTTATTAACTCTTATAGCTAATCGCATGGTTTATGTGTATGCGGAACCATGCTGACTGTGGTTGTTATTTATGTCTGCAAATCTGAAGTCCATGCAGCTCGGCAGCCTGCGAGACTCCGCACAGGAGCAGCGGCTGCGCTTGGGTGCCCCTTGGTGGGCGCCCTCTGATCATCTTGCCGACAGTCGCAGGTGTTTGCGGTGTTGCTAGTTTACTGTGCCGCGATCGGGGACGCAATTCAGTCTACATCGTTCTGCCACGCGCGCCTGAAAGCCAGGCCCCGGCTGCGGGTACTTGCCGTGTCAACGACAAGATGATGTTCGGCGTGTTGTTGGCTGTTTTTTTACGGCGGTTACTGGAGAATAGCCACGTGTTCTAACCTTTCGTTCGTCGTTTGGTTTTTCGTTGCAGGAGATGGCAGCACGGTCGATCCTTGGACCGCGCTGCGGCGTCGTGCAGAGGCCGACCTCCGACGAGTCCGCCGGGGGGGGGGGGGTTGGGGGGGGCGGGGGGGAGACAGGGCATCGACATCTTCTTACAGATCTCCTACGACCCAGGTGTAGGCACCAACACTCTATGTGGTACGTGTGTGTGTGTGTGCGTGCGTGTGCCGCGCGCGTTGTGTGTTGTTGTTACGTGTGTGTGTGGCAGTGCGTGCCGTGCGTGTGTGTTGTGTGTTTGCGCGCGCCCGTGTTCGTGTTCGCTGTGTGTGTGTCTGTCGCGTGCGATGCGTCGTGTGCGTTGTGCGCGGCGCGTGTCTGTATGTGTGTGTCGTGGTTCGTGTGTTGTGTGCGTGCGTGCGTGCGTGCGTGCGTGCGCGCGTGCGTGCGTGTGTGCTTGCGGTGTAGTTATTATGGCCCTAGGTGATGCATGGTGGCGCCACCTTCCCACGCTCGTGCGCACGCTCTATTTACTGTTTCTCCATGGCAGACACTCCCCCTCCCCCCCACCGATAGAGCGAGACGATTGTTCACCCTCCGGCCGCCACCACGGCGATCGTCGTCGTCGACGAAGCTGAGACGAAGCCCCGCGCGCAGCCTCCGCGCGTTGCCACGGCGATCGATGCGGCCGCGTTCGCGACATCAATTAGCTTCATCTGTTATTATGCGCGCTATAAATAATTCACGTCGCGCGAGAAATCGCGATGACGACGAGTGAGAGACGCGTTGCCGCGGCGACGCGCGGGTCAGCATAGGGGCGCTGACCGCGGCCTGACCGCGTTATTGATCGCGTGCCGGTGTTGACTCGTTACTGCACGTGCGCCGCGTAACGCCGGCCGACATCGATCGTGTCGAGAGGCTGACCGTTGCTAAAGCCCGGCCGGCGCAGACGTGAGTAATTTTACTCAAGTAAAATGACGCATTCGTCAAACTACTCACATGTGCGGCACATTTTCGTCGAGTATTTTGACGCGTGCATCATTTTACTTGAGTAAAATTACTCGCGTGTGCGCCGGGCTTATGGCTTTCTAAGAGTCTGACCCTTACTAATGGCCTGAATGGCCACCGATACTGACCCTCTGCCTGTGTGAGTGCGGGGGGTGGAGGGAGGGGTGTGTATCCTCATCCGCACCGGTCACCGCGCGTCCGTGCGCGCACGCCATCTACCGCAGCTCACCTGGGCGACGGTGCCGCGCGCATCATCGTTAACACCTGTTCGCGCGAGCGCGGCACTTAATGAGTCGTTGTCGGCGAATCGCGGCCCGCGCGTGCTTCAATTCCGCCGCCGCCGCCGAGCGCGCGTTTATGGATTTACGATGCCCGCGGTGGCGTCGCGCGGTTTTTAAGTATTTTCCCGGAATCGTCGGCGAGGCGTGGCGTGGCGTGGCTCACCCACCCGCACATGCACGCGTAGTGCAGACGCGCGCACGCCGATTAACGCAGCAGTGTCGCAGGGTCGCTCCCACGCGGCGGCGACGTATGAGGGTGAAGCAGAGATGCCAACCACTACGATTTTTCCGTATTTTATACGAATTTCTATTTAGAGAGGGGAGAAGAGAGAGCGAGGAGAGGGAGAGCGCGTGAGCAAGAGGGAGGCGAGGGAGACTATCTAGAGGGGTCAGGCAGCTGCCTTAGATCGGTCTCTCGTATATACCATGAGTGTCCGTAGTTTCTTCTTCCCTTCTATATATTTGTATCATCATCATCATCATCATCATCATCATCATCGTCATCACCATCGTCATCATCATCATCATCACTATCATCATCATCATCGTCATCATTATATCAGGGGTATATGAATAGAGAGAAACTAGAGAGAGAATAGAATCTCTATTCATGTGCTCCTGTTGGCATTGGCATATTAGCATTGTGGAGATGTTACTTGTGGCTCGTTAAATTGCTGAGGTTTCCGTTTGAATCCGAACACACCACATCAGATTCATTCGCGCGCGTGCAAAATTGTTCCTCACGTGGCGCCATCTACCATCCCTGGCTGTGGCTCGCAGGTCACCGCGAGTGGGTCGTATGTGCGAAGGTGCAGGGGATCATGCGATGGGATGCACGGATGCAGGGATGCGGGAGTGCTGGCAGGGATGTGGGGGCGTGAGGATGCAAGGATGTAGAATCGAACATCAATGTAAATGCACATATTATGTACACGCAAAGTTATGAGCAATGCAGACAAAACTCGAGCAGAACTAATAGCAACCTCGCGTCTAAAACAACAGAGTGCGTGCGTGCGTGCAGCGCACCCGGCTGGTGAGGGACCGTAGGGCCTGAGTCGATCCTCGTGAAGAACGAGGCTGCTATGCGCATGATTGATTGATGTAGCGCGCTGAGCATGCGGGTTTATCACGCGATGCTGCTTCTGGTGTATTGCGAGTGCAGCAGCCTCGGTCGCTTCACTAGTATAGGCTTCACCCAAGTCCTAGAAACTATAGCTATCGCTGGCTTATAGAACTATAGCTATCGATGGCTTATAGAACTATAGCTATCGATGGCTTATAGAACTATAGCTATCGATGGCTTATAGAACTATAGCTATCGATGGCTTATATAACTATAGCTATGGATGGTTTATGTGTATGGGACATGCTGACTGTGGTGTTATTTATGTCTGCAAATTAAGTCATGAGCCGGCAGCTGCGAGACTCCGCACAGGAGCATCGGCTTGCTGGTGCCTGTGGCGCCCTCTGTCACTGCCGGACAGCGCAGGTGTTTGCGGGGTGTTGCTAGGTTACTGTTGCCGCGGGGGACGCAATCGTCTACATCGTTGCCACGGCGCAGCTGAAGCCAGCCGGTTGTCGGGCGTATCGCCGTGGTAACGACAAGAGATGTTCGCGTGTTTTTTTTTTTACGGCGAGTATGGAGAAACGCGTGTCTAACCTTTCGTTTGTCGTTTGTTTTTCGTGCAGGCAGATGGCAGCACGGTCGATCCTGGACACGCTGCGGGTCGTGCAGATGGCCGACTCGCACGACGAGTACACTGAGGTCATCGACATCTTCTACAGACTCTCCTACGACCCAGGTAAGCACCACACACCTGTGTGTACGTGTGTGTGTGTGTGCGTGCGTGTGCGCGCGCGTGTGTGTGTATGTTCGTGTGTGTGTGCGTGCGTGTGTGCGTGTGTGTGTGTGTGCGCGCGCCCGTGTGTGTTCGTG